ACACACCCTGAGCACAGGGGAACACCCGTGATTAAGATCGTAGCCCTAATGGCCAGCTGATGGCCCATGGTCGGGCACACCTTCGGGAATGCGCCAGGACCCACAGACCGGGCATCTGTCAGGCTGGGCTGGGCACGATGATTTCACAGAATCACAGAATATCCCACCCACAAGGATCAGAGTCCCAGTCCTKCCCCTTCCAAAGCCATCACCCCCAAAGGTGTCATAGAGCAGGTGGTCCCACTTCAAGCATTTGTCCCTACACAGCCTTCAAAACTTTTCCAAGACATGCAGAGTTTCCATGTGAAGGGGGAAAACCTGCCCACAGCATGACTCTGCCTTCCAGGAGAGTTGCTGCTGCCCCACAACCCCTGGGCTGTACCTGTTGGAGTTCAGGCTGCCTTCCAGGGGCTGGGGGTCCCACAGAGGCCCCGCTGTCCCCTCAGAGAGTGAGCAGGTGTCCCAGAAAGCACCCAGCATCTCAGGAGCAAACCCTCACAGCCCCACCTGCCCCTAACACATCCATCCTGGACAAAACAGTTCTTGGCAGGAGGGGGCTTGGCAGGACACCAGCCCCAGCCACCAACCGAGTGTCCCCAGCTCCCACAAGAGAACCCCCGGCCAGGTTGAGTGTGGGAGGGAGCTGACATTCTTAAAAGCTTTGCTCCCTGCTGTGTCCCTGGATCAAAGGCCTCCCAAATTTCCCTCTTTGCATCCTCTGTCCTACAGCAAACACATAAAGCTCCCGGCAGGGTGAAGCACAAGTTGCAYCAGCATTAAAACCACCTTTGCAGTCGTGTGAGTAGCTAAAAACTGCCCAGGATGAGCAAGCGGAGCTGTGTAAGAGCYTTTTCTCACTCGGTGGTGAGGGGGAATGAGGGGTTTGGATGCTTGTGGAGGGAATCCCACAGACTGCCACTCAAACCCCATCCTCGTCACTCCCTACGTTGCCCGTGGCTGACACCACCCCAAACTTGCACTRCCAGGGCTCCGAGCCCCCAAAGTGGGGACCCCAACCCCAGGGGGACACCCCGGGGCTCAGCTGTCTCAGCTCCTCACAGACTTGTGATCACCTGGGGGTTCATCCGTACCCCCAAGATGGTGCAGCTCCAAGGAAGGCAGCAGAACTGATGTAAGGCGGAGGCAAAGCAAACCTTGAGCTCGGAGAGCCAAAMCCCTCACATTTTCATTTTTTTGGCCTTTTGAGGTTTTCTTAATTTGTCTATTTTTGTTCCTCGCCCACCTCCGCGCTGAGTGTGACGCGAGCCCTCGCTGGAGAGGCAGGGTTTTAAGGGAGAGCTCTGGCTGTTATAAAGCAGCGAGGTTCTTGGAAAAACAGCCTCTGGAGCAATAAACAGATTTGGAGCTGAGGGCTGTGAGGGACGGCTCCATCTGGGCTGCTGAGTCATGAAACCTGCCCGAGCGAGATACCAGCCGAGGGCTCGGGCTGGGGGAAGCTTCCTCTGAGGAATTTGGGCTATTTCAGTCGGAGCGTGCGACAACAAAACCAGAAAGCGAACAAAAGCGGGCTGGGGTGGCCACGCTTCGCTCCGGCAGCCGCGGGGTTAAGGCAGAGGCTGCCCTCCTCCTCCACCTCCTCCTCCTCCCACCTCCTCCTCTCCCAGTGCCAGCCTTGTCCCGTCCCTGCCATGGTGGAGAGGCGGCGGGAGCAGAGCCTTCACCTTAATCCACGATTTCCAGCCAAAGACAAACTCTGTTCCCTTTGCTG